AGCTACTGCTGAACATCAGCGGAAAATATTTTCCTCATTTCGACTGGCTACCACTATGGGAAAATATTTTCATTGGCCATCCCTCATTTGATGCATTGAAAGGCTTTTACCACGTTTCTCTCTTCTGTCTTCCTTTTCAGGCCTCAGTATATTTTATCGGTAGCAATGGCGATGTTGTCTCTCTGGGCTGGTGACTGCAGTGAAACAAGTAACTCCAGTCAATGGGGGAGGGACCGGTCAGTGAGCAGGTCCGTCGGGTATTTCGGTAAACGCCCAACACAAAGATACAAGCGATGGTGCCCAGTTATCACATCAGGGCAGCATTGAGGTTTCCGAATCTGGTCTTGTCTCTTTGTTCAGGGATGTACAGGTTTCTGACATATTTATAACATTGACCTGTAATTGTGAGCTGTGTATAAATATCCTCCTATGATTCATCTTTGTGAATCATCTACATCCCCAATGACTTTACCTAAACACCTTCTGCTGTGAAACCTCTGTGACACATCATATTTGGTCATCCTTTCTACATTGGCCTATTGCGCTCAGAGCAATGATCAAAATCTCCCTTTGGTCACTTGAGTGATGATGTGTCTGTGACACGTTCTGAGAGTAGGAGCGGTTTCCTTCCTGACCTTTCTATCAATCCTTTAGGGACCAGGCTTCAGGAAGGGACTTTGAGAGGCTGCAGAGGAGATTGATGAGAATTGTCCCAGGAAAGAGGAACGTTAATGATGATGAGAGTCTGGAGAAGTTCAGGTTGTCCACATTCGAACAGTGAAAGCTCAGGAGAGATTTGAACTTTGTCCTGCAATCCTCACGGATTTTGACAATCAACAGTCTCACATCAACATGGAATGCATGTCTTCAGTTCCCAACTGAACTGAGTCAATCTCTGAAGTGAAATGATATGTTGGGAAGTCAGCAATAGATGGGGGAGAGGGTCTATACGAATTGGTGTTACACAGAGTTGGCACAGCCACAGTATGTCAATTCTAACCAATCTCTGTGACTCAAAACTGTTTTGAATCAAAGAGTTCACGAATCTGATGGCAGAGATTTGAAATAATCGATAACATAGATGCTCCTTGAGGAAACAATTTTCTCTGATGGCAATGAAGTTATGATGGGGTTTATTAAACACAGTGGCAGTCCCAAATTCCGTGATGCTCCTTTTCCATCTGGCTCTAGGCGGACTGGACACAGGGCCGTGCTGAGCTCGCACAGGATGATTAAGGCTGTGCAAATCAATGTTTCCTGTCACTCTCTCAGAGTTTACCTGGTTCACTGATAGAAAGGTTACAGAGATATCTCTCTTTACTGCTTTAAGACCCTTCTTCAATTCTGTCTCTTTCGTCAATCTTGTCATCACCTGTCCTGAAATCTCTTGATATGACTCTGTGTCAAATGCCATCTGAAAAGCCTCAGATGGCTGTTTTATTGCTCCAATGGTGCTCGATTAATGCAAGGTTTTGTTGTTCTCACAATCTGCTTTGGCTGATGGTGAGGTGCCATTAAACCTTGCATTTCTTGGAGCACCATTGACTTTTGAAGCATCTTCAATGGGCTCAGTGCCCTTTCAATGCTAGAGTGAGTTCTGTGATGGGGGAGAGAGAGGGGGGAGAATCTCAGAACGGTTATGGAGCATTCCTGTCTCTTCTTTGTCTCCTCACTGGGATTGGTGTTTTTTTCTTGCCCAGAATCACTCGATCATTCCCCTCGGCTGTGAGCCAGGGCCTGATTCACGATCATTGACTTTATTTTGAATTGTCAGGAGTGGATGGTGTCAGGGTATTTTTGTCGGATTTGTCAGCCAAGGACTCAGCTCGTTTTCAGAGCTGCTCACAGACTAGTCACAGTCATCGTATCATGTTGGACCGTGCGTCTCTTTTCTGTCCCTGTGGTGAACTAGGGCCTATTGACACCACACCTCTGCTCTTTTAGTACCACAACGTATGACTGGGATCGACTGTGGGGCGTGTCCTCTACCGAATGGAAGAGGTGTCATATCAAACAGACTTACCCCATTAGGGACCAGTTCATTGATAGCAGACCAGTGCAGCTCTCCCCTTTCCCGCTGTCAGTTCCAGTCATTGGTGAGGGAGTTTAAAGTGGAATCTGAGTCCTGCATTTCATTGCACAAATTGATCTTTATTCGAATCTCCTTTGCTGCCCATGTGGGAGAGGCCAAAGAACCATCCCAATCTGGGTTCCACGTGGGTCCCAGTTGTCCTTGTATTGACAGATCAGATCGGAAGTCAGTGACACTCGACTTTTGTGAATAAAGTACAGGGTATTTGTACATACCGCGTTACAGTGGTTATGTACCCAGCGTAGGGTAGGGACACTACCACTGTGCCACAGGAGCCCTCTGGATTTTGTTTTGCTATGGGATTTTCTGCCTTAGTTTATGGAGGTGGATTGCATCCTGAAGGCGGATTGTGTCCTGAAGATTTGATCAAAGTGATCACACTGATCAAAGGGTTTAATTGGATCGATGTGGAGATAGGCCGACATCTGGTTGGAGGAGTAGGGAGCCTATGGGGGAGTAAGTGAAGATTAGATCCCAGCTGTTCGGAGTGGGTGCTGGGGATCAGTTGGAGATTTCGAGACTGAAGTGGAACACGGTTTATTGTGTAAGAGTAGCAAAGGGAATGTAAAGTAGGGAAATGGATCAGTTCAGTCAGCAAATCAGCCATGATCTGATCAAACAAGCTAACGTAAGGTGCTGGCTCCTCCTGTCCCTTGGCCTGTTCTAAGGCCACTTACAGCTTCCTCCTTTTTATTCAGTCTCCCTCTTGAGGTTCTGGGCTTCCACCACTGGTACCACAAGGGATTGCAAGCCTCCGAGTCATCCTTGCTACCACGTAACATCTTGCCTCTTTTTCCTGTCCTAGCCTCTGCAGTTAAAGACACATTGAAGCCAAGTAAACTTGGCGAGCTTTCTGTCT